CATCATTATCTACCAAGAAATATAAATTAAAACAATCCCCGGAAAAAAAAAAACGGTTATCAAAAGGAACCCCAAGCTAAGTAAGACATGTAACACCACACTCAGACAGAGCATTAGCTGCCTCTCAGCCTCCAAAAAGAAAAAGGGACACATCTTGCTCTTTAAAAGAAAAAAACTATCTAAAACATGCCCCTGAATGACAGCATCTGAAGATTCCAGGACAGCCCATTAGCCATCATCATAATGCAGTCAGTCAGAGTTCCACATAGATGAAGGGAGAATTCAGTAGCCCTCTCCCCTGGCACTGGGGACTAGACGCCAAGCCTTCTTCACTGAACTACCAACCTTTATTTATTTATTTTTTTAGTTTAGCTGTTTTTTTGTTTTGTTTTGTTTGTATTTAGTGCTTCCCAAGCACTGGGATTACAGGCGTGTACCACCAGGCCCAGTCTCAATCGCTGTCTCAGCACACCCTGGGGGGGCTGGACCAGCACAACACACCAGGAATTAAACCCTGGTCCCTGTGGCTGCCTAAATAGGTACCTTGATGCTCTGAACTACTGACCAATCCAACCAGCCTTTAAGAAAGGTCTTACTGAACTGCACCAGATCTTCCTGTCTCAGGCTCCCAATAGCTAAGCTATCACCCTGTGCCACTTCAGCTTTTTAATATCTTATTTAAATATGAATAAGCAAAAACCAGAGATTTGACTCGAATAATAAAAAAGGATCAACACAAAAATTCAAAACAAAAAAGTGTGGAAGAAACTAATTAAAAGAAAACACTGGAAAGAAATTTTCACTTAAAGATGTTCAAGAACATTTATCTTTAAAAAAAAGAGGAAAATGTTATGAAAACTAAAGAGAAAAAAAATAACCCATTTAAAACTTTAGTTTTGTCAGGCACAGTGGTGCACACCTGTAATTCCAGCACTCTCAGAAGGCTGAGGCAGGAAGACTGCTGTGAGTTCAAGGCCCGTCTAGGCTACACAGTGAGTTCAAGGCCACCCTGTACTACAGAATGAGACCCTGTGTTAAAAAAAAAAGTTTTAAGTAGCATGAGATTTTTTTTATATATTAATGTTTTCACTACTTCTTGACATTACTCCTTTTAAGCCTCAACTTAAAGATAATTAAAACAAAAGAGCATGCATACACATGCCAGAAGACCTACCCCCATCTCACTCAGTAGAGGCCTGAAAGCTGATGAACAAACAGAACTGACTTAGAAGATTAGGGACTGCAGACCTACATTGCCACAAGAAAGAACAAGAACCAGTCCCTTCTAACACAAGTACTTAGCAAAGGAATATACCATGGAATACCACTACTCGGCCATAAAAGAAGATGAAATCTGTCATTTGTAATAACATAAATGGAACTATCGATCATTTTATTCAGGGAATAAGCCAGGCACAGAAAGATAAGTAATGCGTGATATCACTGATATGAGAAATCTTTAAAAAATTGATCTCATAGAGATTTGGAATGTTAGAGATGAGTATTAAAGTATATAGTGGGGCCAGCAAGAGAGCTCAGCAGCCTAAGCTCCTGCCTGGCAAGTGCAAGGAACCAGGTTCAATCCCTGGTACCACAGGCCATGCTGACCCCATGAGGAGCCAGCCACCGAACTAAAACTGGGCATGATGGTGCACACCTGAAATCCCAGCACTGGGAAGGCTGAGACAGGAGGATCACTGAGTCCCAGCTCCATAGCAAGACCCTGCACCAAATAAATAAATAAGGCAAAATTATAGCATAACCTATGAGGAAGCACAAGAAACTTGACCTCTAGCTGTTTTTTTTTTAACGACCTCTAGTTTTGTTCATCTTTTTTCTTTTTTTTGTTTGTATTTTGTGCAGGATCTCACTAAGCTGCTCGGACTGGTAGTGATCTTCCTGTTTTCAGTCTCCCTAGCACTGGAATTACAGTCATGTTCCACTACGCTTGGACTTAGTTTTTTTAAGAGAGAATGAAAAATTTTTAAAAACATTAGAAGTAACACAGAATTAGGATAAGAGTTCCATGAACATGAACATTAAAGAAACAGGAAAGGAGTAAGACTCAAAAGGAAATACACAGGAATACTGGAAAACTTGAAAGAAAACCAGAAAGACACAGCCACTGATGTTATTAAAGAGTTTTGAGGACGAGGACATCAACCTTACTGAGTACAGTAGAAGTGTAGAGTGGAAAGCCCAAAAGAAAAGACCCCATTACCTGGTCAAAGATACTTTTTAGACCAATTTTTCTAGCACAGGGAGTTAAGAGCCCAGATTGAGCTAGTTGCACAATTAATGAAATTTGAAAAATTGAAGAAGACAAAAAAAAAGAAAATACAGAATTTCAAAAAAAAAAGAGAGCAAGAATTCAACAATGGTTGTCACAAAGCACTTTGTTGTCTTCAATGTTGTTGCTCAAGTTTACCAAATGTAAGCATGTAAAACTGGTCAAAATAAAAATTTTAAGCATTAACTGTTTCCTTCAATAAACTAATAAATATTAGTAGTATAATCATCCTATCTGTCCTATGCATAAACAGATGTTTTTCCCCTTCCTTTTTTCTTTTCTCCTTTACCCTCATCCTAGTTGTTCTTGCTTTTTTTTTTTTTTTTTTTTTTTTTTTTGGTGGAACTGGGGATTGAACTGAGGCCCTTGTGCTTGCCAGGGAAGCGCTTATTCCACTGAGCCATCTCCCCAGGCCCTGTTCTTGCCTTTTGAGCAGTTTCTTTCCCTTTCACAGTGTCTATTCTACCTTTCAGATTTTACTTACTCCTTCAAGTTCTTACACTAGGGAGATGATACAATATTTACACATGTGCATCTGGTCTGTTTCACTTATGAGTATGATCTCTAGCTATACCCATTTACTTATAAGAGCCTCAAGTTTATCTTTCTTTACAGCTGAGTAATACTCCATTATATAAATATATCACATCTTTTTTATCCATTCCTCAATTGATGCACATCTGGGTTGTTTCCACAATTTAGCTATGACAAACTGTGCTGCTATAAACATGGGTACACATGTATGGCTATGGTATGATGTTTTCAATTCTTCTGGGAAAATATCCAGAAGGGAAGTAGCTGGGTTGAATGAGACCTCTAATTAGATAAAATGGTTTAAAAACAAATTAAAAATTGTTTTGAGCTCACGGTATTTTCCAGGACTTCCATGGGGTCCGAGCACACCAGTGGGCTGTGTGCCTTATCTACAAGGGCCTTCTTCTGGCCTGGGGCTCCCCAGACTATAGCCGGTGGCCATGGGTAGACTTTGCGTGCTCTCTGCAGGTTTCATAGTTTTGTTTTTTCTTTTTAAAAGTTGTGATTTTTTTTCCATTGACTTAATGAAAACAAATTTAATGTATCTAACCGTCTATGCATTTTAAGTTAAACTGCCTAAAATGTGATAGGAGACACACATGTTTGTACTGTGAACTCTAAAGCAAATCTGTTTGCAATGTTAGGTTTTATTACCTGCTGTTGTATTTGTAAACAAAGACAAACGTTGCTTTAAGAAGTAATCATAATTAGGAAGAGACTATAGATGTGAAACTTGGTATTTTTGAAGATAAACTTGTTTGCTTTTGTGTACTCTACCTGAAAATTTTTAAAAAATGTATTTTCATGGTTTAAAAAAAGTTACTAAATACATTTAAAAGATGTCATACAATGGAAGAAAAACTCATTAAACTTTACAAAATACTAATCATGTAAAAGTCTAAATGCAAATTTCATCAGTAATGCAACATAAAAGGTCATAGAGTTAAATAAGAAAATTAGTATTTTTAATACACACTTATGAATGATGACTAGTGCCTGCTTCAAATACTTTAGAAAAACAAGAATGAATAGATGAGATACGTGCGGCACAGTCTCCACCACTGAGTAACTAGGCAGAAGCTTAACCATTGAATACAAAGTTCATTATGTTTTGCTGTTTTGGGGTATACTTCAAAATAATTTTAAAATGCTCACATCCACATCTGGTCTTTTTAGCAAATCTTCCACTTTGGCAACATCTCCATTTGCAGCAGCCTTAACTAATTCTTCATTGAGATCACCAGATTCTTGAGTTTCAAATAATTTCTTCAGGAGCTGAGAGAGTCTTTCTGCAAAGCAATAAATAAAACTAAGACAGGGGGGTCTCAAACCTTAAATACCACAAAACAAGTATTACCTATATCCTTGTAATCAACTTTATGATTTCTCTTTTATATTTTTTTTCTGTATTTAGGGCAAGGTCTACAGGGTCTCACTACGTAGATCAGATTCATTGTGATCCTCCTATTTTCAGCCTCCCAAGTGCTGGAATTACAAGGGCGCGCCATCACATCCAGTCTCAATCGCCATCTCAGCGCACCCCACGATCAGGGCGGGCACAGCTATTCCGGGGATCGAACCCAGGCCACTGCACTCTGCCTAAGCAGGCACTTTAGTCCACTGAGCTATCAGTCTGGCCTACTTTATGATTTCTATCATTAGTATTATTCTCATACTGTGCTACAGATAACTATCCATGTACATATAATCACTATGTCAAGCTGCATCAGACGCAAGCCCAAGAAGTCTACATTTTCTTCAATTTATGTACCTCAAGTTATAATTATAGAAGAAAGCAAAGTTACTAATAATTCAGAAATTGCACCAATGAGTTATGAATGAACACATCAGGGTGGAAGTGCCACAAAAGCACAAACTTTCTTTAGGATATGAAGCACACCACAAAGACTCTGAGAGCTCACGCTGCTAACCTCAAAATTCAATACCTCAATGAGTATGATTCAAAAGTAACAATCATTGGGGATTTGCTTTAGGAGCATTACTATGTGGAGATATGCTTTGGAAGTGCACAGATTTTTAGCTGAAAATGGACACTGAAATGCTAATAACATACTTCATTCAGTGGCAACTGACTTTATGTGTGTGTCATACTAGGAACTGAATCCAGGACCTTTACACTGAGCTATAGCCCTTTTTCATATTTTATTTTGAAGCAGGGTCTCACTAAATTGGCCAGTCTGGACTCAAACTTGGTATCCTTTCCCTTAGCTTCCGAAAGTGCTAGGATTACAGGTAGGAGCCACCATGCCCAACCAACTGACTGTTTTTGAAAAAGAGTAAGACCACCTAGGAAAAGATGCACAACCCTTTCATAACATCCCTCCCCCAACACAATCAATATAGCTACCAAGTTCTACTCTTTAATTCCTGGAGTACTTAATGGAAAGCAAAGAAGTGACAAACTAAGCCAAGGAACAGATCACACAGTGGGCCTTGTCCACGTTATTGAGTAGAAATTTAATAATCCTTCACCCTTATGCCTTATGGTCAGCTAGTGTGATGCCATCTAACTTCCACATCGAAAATAAACATTAAACTTCAGTAGAGTAGCAAACTGCTGCTGACGAGAGAAAAGCAGATAAAGTAGGAAGTAATACACAAATAAAGTAGAAACTACCTAACATTTTCCTTTTTTTCTTTTTCTTTTCTTTTTTTTTTTTTTTTTTTGTGGTACCAGGGATTGAACTGAGGACCTTGTGCTTACCAGACAGGCACTTATGCTGCTGAGCTATCTCCCCAGCACAACATTTATAACCATTCCATTTACAATTATGATTCTCTCTTCTTTCCTGCATGATAACAGTATACACACAGAAGCATGTAATGTGTTATAAAAGAAACTGAGTCTGTGTATAAAAAGCTGGAGCACAGGCAGGATGGGTTTTGAGTAAAATGTCTACCCAGGCACCCAGGGAATGCACATCTTAATATGGGGTCCTACTCATTATGGCAGGGGTAGTAACTTATTAAATGACGGGAAAAAAAGAGTTGATGTGCAAAACTCTAGGAAGAAAGAAATCTGTTAGCAAGAATGTTGGAAATATAAAATAAAGTGTTCTAAGAAAGTGATGATTCTTTGTAGAAAACCAAAATTTTGACTAGTGAAAATAACGCTGAATTTCAAGTATGTCAGGCTTGATATGGAGAAGGCTGACATACTCAAGAAATAACACTTGTTTACGGAACTTTTCTAGGGATTTCCTCAGCCATAACAAAGGACCACCACATAAGAAAAAGAAAATCCTTTAGTGAAAGTTTAAAAAATGATGCACATCCAAGCAAGCCTGTGTAATGTGGGAGAGAGTAAGGCACACATACAGCATTACCTTCATAAGGAAATCAGGGCATTAGCAAAGGTTCTGATGTAAACCATATTACTTTTAAGATTCATAATACGAAACCTACCACCAGAGGCATTGCTGATAGCTGATCCTGCAGATGCTACCTTGGAAACTGCTGCTGGATTATATGTCCAAGAAGTTCCACACACTTCCACCTTTAAGTCACTGTCAGAATAAATCTGTTGTACTCGGCCAACTTTACCTAAAGTCTTAAAAAAGAAAACTAGATTCATGTTTCCAAGGTTAAGGTAAATATCATAAAATCTATTATTAGTTCTTAACAAGTACTAATTTTACTTGTAAATTTAAAATGCTTGAAGGATAACCATATTCTAATGGATTAGTTGTTGTAAACTGTAAAGATAGGTCACTATGTGAAACTGTTTTAGGGCTGAGGATACAGCTCAGTGGCATAAGCACCTGCCTGACAAGAGTAAGGTTCTGAGTTCAATCTCCAGTACTGCAAAAAATAAATAAAACTTTTATATAGTTTACTTCATACTATATTAAAATATTTATATTTAAGTATTTAATGTAATATATTAAAATATTTAATAATTACTAGACTTCCACAAGAACATAAATGATAAATGTATGTAGGATTTTTGTTTTGTTCAGCTTTGAACATTTATTTTGTTAAGTTCATAAGGATGAAATGAGTCATGAATTCAAATAGATATTTGAATTTAAATCAAAACGTAGAGTGTTTTTACTTCACTTCTATATTATTTTGAGGGGGCTGGGGTCAAAGCTCAGTATTATAATAAGCGCTTGCCTGGCAAGCGCAAGGGCCTGAGTTCAATCCCTCGTTCCGCCAAAACATAAATAAATAAATAAAAAGATTGTTTTATATTTTTTTGGTATCTTCCCCTCTGATGGTTCTGGTTTTCAAGGTCATTAGGGAGGATAGAATTAGAATCATCATAGAAGTGCTCGTTAGCTTACCATATACAAAATTCAGAATACTAGTACCACACTGCCATGTACAATAGAAGTTCTGAAAATCAAGTATTTCTTTTCAAGCAGTTCTTTAAGGTATATTCCTCCACCAATGACATTAAAAAAAAAACAAAACAACTCTCAGAATTTTTCCTCATTTACACCAACAGGAAACACATTTAGTTTTTGTTTCATTTTATTTTCCATTTTTAGAATTCTTAAATTTATTTACATTATATAAAATGTATGTAATTTCAAATCAAATTTATAAAACAAAACATACTGAAAGGTATCTCCCTCCTACCTCTATCCTCTATACCCTAGTCTTTTTAAATATAGGTTACTTTCTTACTTTCATGGTTTATCCTTCCATTTTAATATAAAATTGCTATTGTCTGAGGACTTATATTTCTATTAAAACTTTACATAGAGGCCAGGAAGAGGGCTCAGTAAAATAAGCACTTCCCTGGCAAGCACAAGGGCCTGAGTTCAATCCCCGGTTCCACCAAAAAAAATAAAACTAAAAAATGAAGCCTTACACAAATACACGTATGTGTGCAAATATATATATATGTATAAACATTCTTATTCTTTAAAATGTATGTGCATTTTCTAGTATGTACAATATTGAAATTAATAATTGATATGTTCCCCTTACCATTCTAGTTAACTAAAAAGCAATTAAACAGCATATTCAACTTTCTGTATAACTGTACACCTTTCTATAGTTTCTTTACCCATTTTTTTCCTTTTTTCTTTTTTTTTTTTTTTTTTTTTTTTTTTTTTTTTTTTTTTTTTTTTTGTATTTTAGAGCAAGGTCAACAGGGTCTCACTACGTAGACCAGACTCGTAGTGATCTGCCTGTGTTCAACCTCCCAAAAGTTGGGATTCATGTGTGTGCCACCACAGCCAGTCTCAATCACCATCTCAGAGCACCCCAGGGGGCGGGCCCAGCACAGCACACCAGGGAGCAAACCCAGGCCGCTGTGCTCTGCCTAAGCAGGCACTTTAATCTGCTGAGCTATCTGGCCAGCCCACCCATTTCATTTCTTGACAGTTCTATGTTACATTGCTAGAGAACATAACCATTAAATATACTCGCCTTTTTTCTTTTTTTTGGCGAAACCAGGGTTTAAACTCAGACCTTGTGCTTGCCAGGCAGGCGCTTATTGGGCTATGTCCCCAGCCCAATACTTGCCTTTTCTCTAAAACCATCATTTATTCTTAGCGCAACAGACACGTTATTTTGTGATCACCTGATATCTCTCCAGTTATTTCAGTTGTCAGAAAAACATTGTGTAGTAGATTACTCAGAAAGGGTTTCTGGAAAGTAGATTTACTGAATTTGTACGCAACCATATCAATATGTAACCTTTTTACATTTTCTTATGGATTTTTAATATAAACGCTATTTCACTGTTTTCTAACATAAAACACAGATCAAATTTTTCCTTACAGCAGAAATTATTTTCTTTGGGCCAGGCAGATATAGCTCAATAAAATAAACACTTGGCTGGCAAGCACAAGGTCCTGAGTTCAATCCCTGGTACCACAAAAAGAAACAAAGAAATTATTTTCTTTCCTTGAAGACCAATACTTTGCTTCCAGGGGCCCGAAGAATATTTTTTGTTCTTTACAGACACAATGACTTTTACCAGAATGTTTGCTTGTTTATTTTTTGTTTTTTTAAGACGGGTGTTACCATGCAGTTCAGACTGACTATGAACTCACTATGTAACTTATACTGGTCTCAAAATCATGGCAATCCTCCTGCTTCAGCCTCATAAGTGCTAGGATTATAGGCATGCACAACTATGCTAGGCTCTTTGGAATATTATCTTTGATTTTAAAATTTTCCTCATTGCCTTCCAATAGCTGCCCCCATTGCTATTGGAAATTTAACTCAGGACCTTGTGCTTACCAGACCGGCACTATGCCACTGAGCTTTATTTCTGGCCCTTTTACCTCATCTCCAATTTTCATATCTTGTCATTTTCCTAATTTCTTTCAGCTCATTTTGAATTATATTTTAATTTTATCCATTTTCTGCACATACCTTTATAAAGATACTATTCTGTTCTTCATTCTCTTTTTCAGTAACAAGTGTGTATGAGGCTTTCACTGATCCCTGCCACCTTTCATCTGGAGCCACCCATGCCTCTGTCCCCACTGTCTCTATCTCATCAAATTTGTTTCTATTTCTTAACACCCCTCCTCGAGGCAAGGCCCTCCTTAGAGGTCACTTTGGCGGGTCAGTTCCGAGTCTTTAGCAGGGCCCTCCCAGTGCCACCCCATACAAGTGTCTGTGGGGCCCTTTTGGGTTCAGAGGCTGTCATGCAGACAGGCAGTCCATGGAGAGGTTGCCACAACTCTGCACCGCTGGAGGCCACATGCCAGCGAAGCCTCCGCTGCCTGACAGGGCATCATGTTCTCCACTAGCACAGCTACCAAAGAGACGAACCCTAAGCCTTTCCAGACCTTCCCACGCTGATTGTTTTTTTTTTTTTTTTTTTGCGGAAGTGGGGATTGAACTCAGGCCCTTGTGCTTGCCAGGGAAGCGCTTCACTCCACTGAGCCATCCCCCCCCACGCTGATTTAAATGAAATAAATCAGAAAACAAAAGGCACAGTATATCTGTCTGCCAATTTGGTTTCCACATTGAATTTACTTTTAATTAATAGTATGTGGGCTAAGTCTCTAGCCCCAAACTGTTTGATATGTACTTACTGGTAGCATTGCTTCAGCCCATTCTCCATGCCCTCTTTGTAGAAGTTTAATTCTTTCCAGATCATAACAAACTTGCACAAGGTCACCCACTTGAAACTGGGAGGTGCCTCCTTCTGCACCCTGTGCAGCGTCCCCACTGCGGACAATGTTGGCTTTGGTAAGGACAGCAGGATTAAAGGTCCACCTGCAAAAGCAAAGCCAAAGCTTGAAGCAGGCAGGCTTACTTAACTGTCAGCCATTCTTAGACACTGTATGGAGAAAAACCTAAGGCAGCAAAAGAATAAGGTAATCCTTTCGAATTACATTTTAAGTGATTTGTATTTCTTTTTCATAATGTATTCTAATCTTATAATTTTATTATAGAAATTTGGGAATGAGTCATGTCTGATCTCACCATCCTAATACACGTCTTTTGTCCCTTCTGGTACTGGGGATCGAACTCAGGACCTTGAGCTTGCCAATGCAGGCACTTGTGCTGTTCAGCTATATCCCCAGCCCATACCATCTTAATACTAATATTTTAGTATACTTATTTTCTATGTTTTTAAAAATTGTGACAGTAATATGCCTATTGCTTAAAAACTCAAACATTTCAGAAGCATGAAAAGGGAAAGTTCCATATCACAGAAACTGACCTAGAGCTCTAGAAACCATTATTAAAAAAATTTTGTATTTTTTTTAAGGTACTGGGGATTGAACCTAGGACCTCATGCTTGCCAGGCAAGTGCTTATTCTACTGAGCTATCTCTCTGGTCCTAACATTTTATCACATAAACCTTTACAGATCTAACAACATGCTGATATTATAAGCTAAGTAGTTGTTTTCAATAAATGGGATCAAAACACACATACTATTCTGTTACTACTTTTCTCTCTTCCAGCACTGGAACTACAGGCCTGTGCCACCATGCCTGTTTTGGGACCAGCACAGTACAACCAGGGTTCCAGGGTGGGTACAGCATGCAGTTACTTGGGACTGAGCTCGGGGCTTTGTGTTTGCCAGGCAGGTACTTAGACTGCCAAGCTATCTCCCTAGCCCATTACTTTTTTCAAGGATAAAACAACTTGGAAGATTTTTCAAGTTCAGATATAAATCTATTTCATTCAATTTAACAGTCTATGCATTCCAATGACACAGACATTCATCTATGATTATTTGAAGTACTTCCATAGTTTCATTTGCATATAATCCCTATATGTACATCTTTGTGAACATGGGATCAGTATTCCAGTAAACTCTTGTTTTTGTTTTGTTTTGTTTTGTTTTGAAATATATTTGGTTGTTGCACGGTCTTACTACGCAGCTAGGACTCATAGTGATCCTCTTGCTTTCAGCCTCCCCAGGGCTGGGATTACAGGCATGCACCACTACACCACCGGGACTCTGGCCAGCTCAACACGCCCCTAGGACGAGACTTGTGCAGTATGTGGTGTTGGAGATCAAACCGAGGTCCCTGTGCTTGCCTAAGCTTGCCTAAGCAGGTCCTTTAGTTGCTGAGCTATATTGCTGGCCCTCTAGTAGAGACTCTTAAAAGAACTACTTGATCCAAGTATATTTATTTACCATTCTGGTAGAGTCAAAATGCTCTACAAAGAGTGTACCATTTCTCCTACCATGCGATCCCCACAACTCCAGCCAGCCAAACATGCCCTGAAGGCATTCTGAGCCAGCCCCGCCCCAAAAAAATTCTTCAAAAAAAGGGGGCCTGCCCCTTAGCTCAGTTGTTTAAGTGGCTGCTTCAACAAAGCAGTCAGCCTCAGGATGCTGTGGTTCGATCCCCACAACTCCAGTCAGCCAAACATTCCCTGAAGGCATTCTGAGCCAGCCCAAAAAAAAAAAAAAAAAAAAAAAAAAAAAAAAAAAAACCTTCTGCCATTTCTCCTACCATGACCAATAAAAATATTATCCACTTTTCATTTACATGAGTATTTTCCATAATTATAATCTTCTATCAAAATAAGTGTGGATTCTGACTTACTAGACATAAGCATTTTCCATGCTGGTACCACCTTAAAACTGTCATTTTAATGACTACTTAATAATCTAATGTGTAACACAATATTTACTTTCCCTAAACCCACACTCAACTCCAAAGGAAAAAGGTGCTCTTATCAAATAAGGTTCTACAGAGCTGGCATCTAACATAACTTTTCTCCTTAATTCAAGTAGTTATTAGTACATAAAAGACCCTGAAAGGTCACAGTATACAACAACCTGTTTACTAACTTCCTGTATCTGAACATGTCTCTGAGTAGATGGCCTATCAGACACCTACACTATTTTCTGTCTTAGCACATGGTGCCCTGGGAGCTTTCTCAAGACCCTAGATATGCAGGTCTCCCGAAGTCTGAACCACAGCAGACTCAACTCCTCCCTTACCTGCCTCCAGTGTCTCCTTCCCTGGTAGAGGACACCCTCTCTTCTAAACTTACTGCAAGTAGGATTTTCCCTCAAGTTGTCTCTCATTTGCCTGTATGACCACTTTCTTTTGGGCCCTCAGAATACCCTAAATATTTACCTTCTGTATTACTCTGAACACTTTACTGCAGTTATTTCCAGTTAATTCAAATTAAAATATAAGCCCTTTAACAGCAGGAAACCAGGCTGCCTTTGTAATCCTACCAAACACAGGGCCTAATACAGAATAACTATTAAGAGTCTTTGCTGAATAAAGAACAAAAAGATTACTTCCTAGAGCTCAAATTCCATATTACTAAATACCCTACTGTCCAATAAAGAATTTTAAGCAATAACTCCGCAAGTAATACCATCTTGTATTAACATTTCCAAACAATAAATAAAAGAATATTTAACATAAAATATGTAAGTACATGCTACTCAGAACTAAACTTTAAAGGTTCTTTTCCTTTTTAAAAACAGCTTCTTTAAGATGTATTCACCTGGGAGCTGGGGAGATAGCTCAGTGGAATAAGTGGTTGCCTGGCAAGTGCAAGGCCCTGTGTTCAATCCCCAGTTCCGAAAAAAAAAAAAAAAAAAAGAAGGGCAGGAGTCACTCCCCTTCTCCTAAGGTACAGGCACCCATTTAAGGTATGTGAGTCCATAGTTTTAGTGTGTATCAGAGCTGGGCACTGTTCCCAGACCTGGGCTTCATTCTCACCTCCTGGTAAACACCCATACCTACCAGCAGCCACTCTGCAACTTCTTTCTCCCCAGCCCCTGAGAACCAGTAATAAACTTCATGTTTATATAGATCTGCCTATTCTGGGCATTTTAGACAAAGACAATCCATACTCCATGAACCTCACACAGCTTGCCTCCCCCCTCAGCATGTTTCCAACATCTGTCTGTGGTGGCGCATGTCAGTACCCTACTCCACTTGAGGGCTAGATCTCCTTTGGTTCTTTTATCAGCTGACATGCATCTGCATTGTTTCTACTTTCAGCTCTTATGAATAATGCTTCTACAGTCACATGCAGGCTTTATGTGTACGCAGAGGCTTCAATTCTCTTGGAGATAGGAGAACTGCTTGCTGAGTCATATGATGAGTCTATATTAACATGCTGAGCTAGCAAGACTTCTTCCACAGTGACTCCACCAGTGTACAGTGCTACCAGCAATACATGATGGTTCCAATCTCTCTACAACCTCAGTAACACTTCTTGCTACTTGACATTTCGATTCTAGTCCTTATAGAATATGGGACAGGATCTCATTGTGGCTTTGATACTTCCCTAATAACAGAAGTCTCTTCTCATGAGTGTTCTGCACAGAACTGTGCTCCCAGAGAATTCATACCATGAAGCACTAACCACCAACACCTTATTTTTACATATATAATAGGCACAGTGTGACATCTGAATACATGTGTATAATGCAGGATGATCAAATCAGGGTATCTAGCATTGCCATCACCTAAACACTCACCTTTCTTTGTGGTACACTCAAAATTCTCTCTTCTAGTTACTGTGAAATATACATTATTATTAACTATAGTCACCCTACTATGCTACTACATTGGAAATGAGGAACAGGACCCTAATCTTACAGTACAGGTAACCCTTTAAATGTAAGAGACTGAAGAGTTCTCCCTAACCACAAGGCAAGGGAAAGCCAGATGAGGGGACACAGAAGGTGACCATCTATAAGCCAGGAAGGTAGCCCTCCCCAGAGCCAACCCAGAAGACACCCTGATCTTTAACTTTTAGCCTTGAAAGCAATAAAAAAAGTGAATTTCTGTTTAATCAAGTATCTGCAGTATTTTGGTCTTTTTGGTGTTGTGTTCTGTTTCTTCTATTCAATCACACATCTCGTAAGAGCAGCCCTAGCTAAGCAGTAATTCAATTCAGGTTTTTTGATCATCGCTACAGCTTCTCTAAAAAATGTCTACTCACAAACTTGGCCCATTTTTCAAATGAATTTTTACTGTCGAATTTTAAGAGCTCTTTATAACTTCCAAACATTTTCTCCCATTCCTTGAGCTATCACTGTATTTTCCTGGTAATCTCCTTTAGAAAATAAAAGTTGTTAATTTTGATGAGGTCTATAGTCTACCTTTTGTTTTACAGCTTTATCTAACTCAAGAACATCAAGATTTATGGTTTAGTAATGCCAAAAAAAAAATCAAGGAGAATGCATGCATGCGCAAATACGTAAGCATGGGAGACCTGTGCTGTCAAGAGATAACTAATAGGCCAGAGGAGTTGTTTTAATGGTATCTTTTCTGATTCACACACAGATTGTTATGAATCATTTTGAACAAAGAATTTTTTTTTTTTTTTTTTTTGGTGGAACCGGGGATTGTACTCAGGCCCTGGCACATGCCCGGCAAGTAATTATTCAACTGAGCTATCTCCCTGGCCCCCTAACAAAGAATTTTTGAGTTGTATGTTCACATAATACTGATATCCACTCCTAGAGGAAAAAACCTAAAGTACATAAAATTTTGTATCATAAATGTGTGATTTCACTCACATACTCTGTCTTACCTCTTCCTCTTTATCTCACCAACATACTGTTTTACATATATATATATATATATATATATATATATATATGGGTTTTTTTTGGTATTAATGTATTAGTACAGGGTCTACAGGGTCTCATTACACAGATCAGACTCATAATGATCTTCCTGTTTTCAGCCTACCAAGCGCTGGGATTACAGGCACACACCCCCACACCCAGTGGTTTGATCCCCTGGGGTCGGGGTCAGCACAGCACACCAAGGGATCAAACCCCCAGTCCTGGTCTGCCTAAGCAGGCACTTTACTCTTGTTTTTATGTGCTATTTTGTTTTAATGAGTCTGATTAAATCACATTATTTGTTTTCCTTAAGGATCTTTTCTCTGTATACTAACTTTGTACCTATCAAAAATTGAGAAATGTCACCAACCTATTGCCACTTGGATACTGCACTACAATGTCATGATCTTCATCAATGCCACAGACGGTTCCCGTGGTAGTTAAAGTCTCAAACATCCCATCAGTCCAGCCACCGTGACCATGCTGCAGAGACTGCACAATTTCTAGGTCAAGATCTATATTTACCAGGTCACCAATCTGCAATCCACCAGGATTCCTGTTGCCATTCTGCTCACCTGTAATTTCAGAGGCAGTTAGTGGGAAAAAAGGAAGAAAAACACAGAACAACGTATAGCTGCATTGTGTATGCATGTGGTTACTAACCTAATCTCTTTACTTGTTAAAGGTCTAGCCCAATTTTCTACTTCTATTCAGCTTTCATAGTTTTTACTTTTCTAGGAATTGATGCATTTCACCTTCATTACCTCATCTGTTGGCTACAATTATTCATGGTGTTTCCCTGCAATCTTTATTTTGTGACAGATCTCCTTAGTTTCACATATTTAATGGGCACAGTGTAACATCTGAATACATGTGTATAATGTAGGATGATTAAATCAGGGTATTTAGCATAGCCATCACCTAAACATTCACCCTTCTTTGTGGTATGCTCAAAATTCTCTTTTCTAGTTACTGTGAAATGTACATTATTATTAAATACAGTCACCCTACATTACAAAATATTAGAACTTATTCCTAAATCACTGTAGTGTACCCATGTACCAATTTCCACTGTAAATATGTATTTTTACCCTGTCTTTTGTTTTGTTTTGCCTTGTTTTGCTTTGTTTGAGGTACTGGAGATTGAACTCAGGACCTTAAGCTTGCCAGGCAGGCACTTATTCTACTGAGCTATCTCCCAGCCCCTGATTATATATTTTTAAACAAAAATAATGTCTAGGTATTTTAAAGTGCCACCTAACCTTAAAATATTTTAAGGGTTCACTGGTAAGTATGAGATTTTGGAATTGAGATTTTAAAAACAGCAAACATCAGACTCAAAAATTTGAATAACAGGGTTAGAGATGTCACTCAACACCAGAGCACCAGGAGGCCCTGGCTTAATCCCCAGGACCATAACAAAATAAGACAACCAAAAATGCTGACAATATGCTGATTCATAGCACAAAGGAGCAAGAGCACAGTCTATAAAAGACTATTCAGCTCTATCTCAGAACACAAAATTCTGGAGGATGAAAAGATTTTTCTGCCTAGGTGACCTATCACTACAGCAGAGCCACTATAACTAAACACAGAGAAAGAAAACTCTGGATTTATTCTTTTCCTTCTGAAGTGGTTAGTATGCTTTGTTTTATTCTGTTTTGTCTTGTTTTTAAGGGGGAAAAATTCTATTTTGCTCATAGTTCCAGAGTGAAGTTTCAGTCAGTCCAGGGTATGAGTATAATTTTTCAATAAATAAATCTTGTGTTTTTGCTTAAAGAGTATTTTTAATAATATTTCAAAGCCCATTCCTCAGATTTTTTCAACAGCTAGTTCTAGGATAAAAGATTTATGATCACAAAAAACTCTATGCTGAAGGATCCAAAATATGCATGTTCAGTCTGTATTTTTCTTAAGGCAAAACACAAAACAAGTAATTTTCTAAAAATAAAAATGCCATGAATATATTAAAAACACTGGTATCTTTTCAACATTGTCCTTTTAGTTAAAAAAGTTATATGAGTCACGAACACAGCACTTTTTGACAAAAAGACCAATGATTCAAATGATTTAGAAAGGTGAAAATAGAATTCATATGACAAAAATGTATTCAGGCACTGAAGGACCAGAAGAGTGTTCTTATTTGGTAAAAATAAGATCTTAAAATCTATAAAATAAAACTAGCTTTGATTTTCTTGTTCCTGCTTTTAAATGTTAGTAACACATGAAGTGGGTGGTGAATGCCTGTAATCTCAGCACTGTGGGAGGCAAACAGAGAAGGATCAAAAGTTCACATTGCACCTAAAAATTAAGTCAAGACTGTCTCAAAATTAAAAATAAAAGGGCTAACCAAATAGCTCAGTGGATTAAAGTGCCTGCAAGCAGGCGCAGGGGCTGGGGGCTCAATCCCAGGCCTGCTGTGCTGGCCCCACCCTGAGGGTGCAACTGAGAATGGGTGTGGTGGCGCCCGCTTGAATCCTAGCTCTTGAGAAGCCGTAAACAGGTGGATCACTATGAGTCCAATCTAGTAGTGAGACCATGAACACCCTGTATACCCTTCCCTAAAATAAAAAAAATTAAAATTAAATAAATTTAAAAGGCTAAGTAAGTTGCTCAATTTAAAGACTCTCTAACAAATGGAAAATAAAAATTTTGATAATACATGGAATTTTATTTGGTTACCTTAATATTAGAGCTGTTCTTTTATTAAGAAGTCAATCTTACAAAAACTTTAAGAAATTTATAGGCACTAAACTTTCAAATCCCATTTTAAATAGTGCAGCAATACAACATTGATATAATCTAATTAAAAATCTTCAATGTATTTATGGCTAAAAGACATTTCAAATATTAAGATATAAATTCCATACTACTTCAACACATAGCTCTAAGCCTAAATAATAAAAAAGGAAAAGTATTTTAATACCAAGAAACGATCTTTCTAAATGACCTTAAAGGGACCAGAGAGATCACTCAGTGATCTAACTGCCTGCCTGGCAAGCACAAAGACCCGGGTTTGATCCCAGTACCACATGCCATATGGGCCCCATGCCATGCAGGCCCCCAAAACTGGACACAGTGTCACAAGCCTGTAATACCAGCACTGAGGCTGACACAGGAGGATCACTATAAGTCCAAGCTGCATGGCGAGACCCTGTATCTAACACATAAATTAAAAAATAAAAATAAAGTTTTAAAACATAAAAATAAATGACCTTAATGGTGACTAATTTTTTTTATTATTTATTTTTATATTTTAGTATAGGGTCTACAAGGTCTCACTATGTAGATCAGACTCATAGTGATCCACCTGTGTTCAGCCTCCCAAGAGCTGGGATTACATGCGCGCACCACCACATCCAGTCTCAATCGCTGTCTCAGCAAGCCCTGGGGTGGGGGCTGGCACAGCATACCAGGGATCCCCTGTGTCTGCCTAAGAAGGCGCTTTAGTCTGCTGAACTATTTGGCGGGCCCTGTTTTTTTTTGTTTTTTGTTTTTTTTTTAAATAGGAGCTCAGCACATAGTTTAGGTTAGCCTTGAACTATGTAGCGGACCTTGGCCTTACACTCATGGTGCTCCTGCATCAGCCTCCCAAGTGCTGGAGTTAATAGGTGTGCAACATCATGCCTGGCTTTAAGGGTGACTAATTTTTCTAAGTCCAATTTAAACATTTTACTGAATCTTATCAATTCTACTATTAAGAAATTTTCTCTAATCTGCTAACTCACCTAGCACAGGGCAATGATCTCTGTAGAAAGAACCTCCTTTGGCATCCTGGACACACTTCAGATCAGACTAAGAAGAAAAGAAACCAGAAAAAGCATGCATGAGAACTTCAATACCTGAAATAGGCAAAAAATTCATTCAGAACATAGCCACAACAGAAAAATACCTCTGAGTTAATAATTACACTAATATCTTTTATCTCGTTTTCAAAAACATCTTTCTAAAGCTATAAACCTGATCTTCAGACAGTCACAATTTTTTTTCTTTGAGATAATGCCACTATATTGTCCCAGCTGGCCTTAAGCTCAAGATCTTCCTATCTCAGCCTCCCAAGTCCTGATTACAGGAATGTGCCTCCATGCCCAGTAAATTCGTATTTACTTCTGACTTCCTGGTTTTAAAGCTTAAAATTTTAATTACAATAAAATATTTAACACTGTATTTTAAAAATCACATGCTAATAAAATAAGTAACAAGTATTTCAAATGTATGTAACGCATTTAACTTAAAAGATACTTTCATCCAAAAAAAAAAAAAAAAAAAAAAAAAACCCTCTTATTTGAGCTTTCTGTTTTTTTTTTTTTTTTAAAACAGGGATTTAACTCAGGACCTTGCACTTGCCAGGCAGGCATTTATGCCAATGAGCTATCTCCCCAGCCCTTTCTCTTTTTTTTTTTTTTTTTTTTTTTTTTTTGGTGGAACCAGGGATTGAACTCAGGCCCTTGCACTTGCCAGGGAAGTGCTTATTCTACAGAGCCATCTCCCCGGCCCTCCCCAGCCTTTTCTAATTAATTAATTTTATGAAAAATAGAGCACAAATGTTAACAAATCCTTTGTTCAGTTCATTTCTTCTTCATTTCAACTTAGTCCTCGCTTTACCATAACTTGGTTAACTCAAGTTCCTCCTACTATCTTTTATACAAAAATTATTATTTCAAGGCAACAGCAGAGGTACCTGCAGTGTAGGGCACAGCAAAGAAAATGCACACTTAGAAGAGCAATCTAGGGTGTTCCTGTAGAAATTTAGAATAAAATTTCAAGTTGCTTTAAAATGCCTTATAGGGCCAGTGACAGTTCAGCAGACTAAAAGCTTGCTAGGTAAGCACAGGGGCCAGGGTTCCATCCCTGGCACCACATGCAGAGCTGGCCCTGCTGCTGGGTGCACTGAGCCAGCGATGGAGTCTGGGCTAGTGGCACACGCCTATAATCCCAGCACTCAGGAGGCATAAATCAGGAGGATCACTAGGAGTCCAAGCTGCACAGAGAGACCCTGATACCCCCCCAAAAAAAAACCTTAAAATGCCTAATAATCAGTGATTAATGTATCTTACTCCATTAAGGAAAGGAGCTCCTTTATTCATGCACACAGGAGCCAACTCTCTACAGCCTTTTATGTCAGCTGGACAGAGTGTCACTCTCTCCTTGCCAGACATAATAAACATCAAATTGTTTTAATATGATGCTTTAACCCAGCAATTCACTTTTAGGAATCGACCCGAAAGAAACACACCCAGAATGAGCAAAGAAATACTCAAGGATGTTTGCTGATATTACTGCCTGTGAAGGAGGGATACTCACCAACAGAAACCTTATTAAATGATGATATAATCACATAAATAAAGGAGTACTACTCTTTGCCAATTTATGTACACAAACCAGTCAGCACATACTGTGCATAAATCTTTGAAGCAAATGCTTAAAATCCCAGAAAAATTCACAATAACTGGTGCTATATCCAATAATAAAGCTAAGCAAATTACATGCTAAAATTCACATGGTGGCTTTTTTAATGGATATATTAAAGAGACAAGAAATTTCACTTCTGTGGTGAAAGACAAAAGACAGTTGAGAAACAAATGAAATTTAAATAATTTTTTTTCTCCTGTATTTAGGGTCTACAAGGTCTCACTATACAGATTGGACTTGTAGTGATTCTCCTGTTTTCAGCTTCCCAATGGCTGGGATTACAGGCATGCGCCACCACGCTCGGTCTCAATCGCTGTCTCATGTGTCATAGGGGCAGGGGTGGCACAGCATGCTGGGGCCACTGAGCTCCGAAAGAAGCAGGCACTTTAGTCTGCTGAGCTATCAGGTCAGCCCTTAAATAATGTTTTGAATCAGGAATATATTCAAGATTGAAATGATACAAAAGGATTTACTGTTCACATGAATTATACTACAAATTAAATAGCAAAGTCAAGTCTGAACAACAGTTCATGAAATGCAGACCTGTAGAGCAATTCACTGAATATATCTCCATTATTTAATTAAGCACTTATGTACTTTTACGTATTTCTAAGTTAATCATTCTTTATCAGTTCCTATACTTTCAAAAAATAAGAAAGAAATCTCCTTAAAATAGGTTTACTATGGACCAGGGATATAGCTCAGAGACATAGTACCTGCCTGGTAAATGTAAGGCCCTGAGTTCGATTCCCAGTACCAAAAAAATTATAGCAAGTTTAATACCTACTATACTTTATATACTTTTATCAGCTACCAGAACAGAAAATACAACACAAAACTTTATTAATCCCTGTCAAGAACTAGAGTTACAAATGATCTTAAATTTCTGAAAGATTTTAATAAATAAACCTCTAACATTAACCTGAATGAGTAACACTATAAAATTAGATACAACAGGGTATCCAAACATTTACTGAGAGTAAAAATCATATTTATATTTTTTCTTGCAATATGGGGTACTGAACCCAGGGTCTTCATACCAAGCTTCATCTACATCTCTTTTTAATTTTTTACTTTGAGAGACAGTCTTACTAAGTTATTCCCAAAGCTGAGCTCCAATTTACAATCCTTCTGCTTTAGCCTCCCAGAGTGCTGGATTATAGGCATATCCCACTACAGTGGCTACCATATTTATTAGTAAACAGTTAGATGTAATAAAATTACAAAGGTCTCACAAGTTTACTGAATTGTTTCACTGACTTCCCTGTTAATATATACTCATGATTCAGATAGCTATATTCTAACAGGCAAGGAGGAGATTAAAACACTGATGCAGGCTGTTACTTCCCTCCCCTCCCCCACCCACCATCATTATCCATGCATCCTCTCTACTCACCATGCCTTCAAAGCCCACTCGGTACAGGTTCTTAGCACCATTATCCCAAAGAACATAGGCCGCACTGTGTGGGCTTGAAGCACTCCAGTCTTGGATTTCCGTTACCTAACAGAAGTAAAGAAGAAAAACTCTTTTTAAAAAAGTAAGAAATTTTTATGTGCCCTTTTTTTTTTTTTTTTTTTTGCAGAACTGGGGATTGAACTCAGGCCCTTGCGCTTGCCAGGGAAGTGCTTATTTCACTGAGCCAGCTCCCCGGCCCCAAAAAGGGAAGAAATTTTTTAAAAAATAAAAAAGGAAGAAAGAAGTTATTCTCTTAATTACTATACTCAAATCTTAAAAAGTATTTCACCTGTCAAACTGTGTAGCAAGTAGAATAACTTGTCAAATATGCCACTTCCACCATACAATGAATCCTTATAGCCATATTTTTCCAGAATTAAAAGGTTATTTCTAAAACCACTGTAGAAATTTTAAGTTAGGTGTCTCAAGGATCACAGCAATAGATAAACAGAAAATAATTTGCTGTGAAATTTTAAACCTTTACATTTTAAGAAGATTTGATAGTACCATGGTCTTTTTTTGAGACAGGGTCCCAGTATGAAGTCCAAGATGGCCTTGACTGCTTATGTAACCCAGACTCCCCAACTCACAGTGACCCTCCTGCCTGGCCTCCCCATCGCTGGAATTATAGGTGTGTGCACCACCACACCCAGCCATATTCTTTTAAACTAATTACTCAATATGAAGTCCAATATCTACAAACAAACATACAAACTAATTCAAGATAAGCTGGTTCCCTGAAACTACAAATTGACAAGCAAAAGACGCTAAAGAGTTCGCATGACAATGTTCATAAAGCTGTCTCTTCCTGCAGCAGTGTCCCACTGCTCCGCCCAACGAGCATCAAATCACCTAAGCTCAGACAGTGTTTCTCCAGCAGGAGCCGGAAACCACCTCCATCCTTCCCCAACAAGGTGAATAATTTCTGACTGATTTCACTCAGTCACATTCATGTACACGTGCGTTTGTGTGCACACACACACACACTCACACACATGCCCTTCCTTGCTCAAGGACCTCCAATCAGGCCCACAGAATGAAAACACCAGGTCAGTCTAAAGTGCGCATATTAAGCTGCACACACAATTCAGACTGCATCTCTCCATTCAGGAACACAATTAGCAGTGCTTCACTGCTTTAAAAACATACTGCTATTTTCACTAAAGTTCACAGCAACCTTTCTTTTGGCCCTGTAGTAAATAAGTTTTGTGAGCTTGGTATTTTATGATGCTTTTGTACAAATAAAATGTTTTATGTTTAAGATCTAATCATATAAGAAATATTTAAAGTTATCAGTCAATGAGGCCATTTATTTTTAAATATAATGTACATTATAAAGTATGGTATATAAATTTTGTAAGACAAGAAAAGTTCTGCCGGTAGTCTTCATACCCCCTTAGCTGCCAACAGAGGTAACTGCTTCCCCTGGGCAGGTCACTGCTGCAGTGGCTCGCACAGCAACACTCTGAAGTGAAACCTGCAATCTGCACCCTCTGCTACATCAGATTCTCCTTCACTAGTTAAGAAAACAAGGGCCAGGGAAATGGCTCAGTAGAATAAGCGCTTGCTTGGCAAGCACAAGAGCCTGAGTTCAATACCCAGTTCCACAAAAAAAAAAAAAGAAAGAGAAGAAAACACCATACTGTTATCAGTGCCTCAATTTTTAGAAAAAGAACCAAAAATAGCACTTGACAGCTCACAAACAATTTTTATTTCAAACTTCTTATAAGCTAATTCAATAGTCAATTCTGAATCAATAAATACAACTCCTTCAGGTGTTAGTATGGCATAAGTTATTACTGACAAAGAAACAAAATGGAAGGCATAAAAAAGAACTAGTTATACTACTAATCCTGATTATAAAATACACATGGAATTTCCAGCAAGATGACAAAGTACAAGGTCACTAAAAAACTTTATACAAAGGATGGATCTGAACATTACCTCTAGCTTATTCATCAACCTTAATATCACTAAGAGTAAAACAATTAGACATTATGTGCCTCCGATACAACACAACAAAAATACATGCCATCTCTTGTCCCACCTCCCCACAATGCCATCACTTGTGAGGTACATGCACCAAAATAAATTTGAACCTTTCTAGATGTGGCAGCATTTGCCTATGATCCCAGCACTTAATTACAATGCCTGAAGCAAGAGGATCACGAGTTGGAGGCCACCCTGGGTTATACAGTGAATGCAGCCTAAACTACATAGTGAGACCCTGGCCAAAAAAGCTAAAAAAAAAACCACTTGAATCTCTGAATCTAATTAACCTCTAGTTCTAACACACCCACAATTTATAAAAAATAGATACATACCAAAGATAACCAAATGTAAAGAATCTGCTATCTTCAACAACTGGCATTTTAAAAAATGTTCATAATTGTTAAAAACTGATTGATGAGTACACAGAACTATGTTACACTATTCTTTTTACTTTGGTGTATATTTGAGATTTTTCCATGAAATATTTTTCAAAAACAAAGAAATATGATCCAAGCTATTCTAACTCACATGTATTCAAAAGCATTATCTGTAAAACAAAAGTAGCCTGGTTGGGGAGACAGCTCGGCAGTCTAAGCACCTGCCTGGCAAGCACAAGGACTGGGTTCAATCCCCAGAACCTCATGCCATGCCAGCCACTGGAACCGGGCATGGTGGCGCATGCCTGTAATCCCAGCACTAGGGAGGCTGAGACTGGAGGGTCACACAGTCTGTACATACTGAGATCCTGAAACCAAAAAAACCCCCTTAAGATAGTAACACAGGCAGGCCGGCCAAATAATAGCTCAGCGGCTTAAAACACCTGCTTAGGCAGACAAGCAGCCAGGGTTCAATCCCTGGCGTGCCATGCCGGCCCCGCCCCCAGGGCACACTGAGCTGGTGATTGAGACTAGGCCTGGTGGTGCACACCTGTAATCCCAGTTTTTGGGGAAGCTAAACACAGGAGAATCACTATAAGTCCAATCTACATAGTGAGACCCTGTAGACCCTTACTAAAATAAAAAATAAAAAAGATACTAACACAGGCAATATGAAAAAACAAAAGGGAGCCAGGCACCTTGGCAAATGCCTATAACCAACTGCTCTGGAGGCTCGCATAAAAGAATCCAAATTGAAGGCCACCCTGGGTAATCTAAAAGTCAGCCTGATTTGATTCCATATGAAGAAACAAGGATTGAAGATGTAGTCATTTTATTAGAGTACTTGCCTACCATTCTTAAGGACCTGATTTCAATATCCAACATCAATAATAATGACAACGACGATGATGATGATGATGATTATGATGATGATGATGATGATACACAACACACAACTGATGTGAGTTATGTCAGGTAACTGGGAGAAAGTAGCCAGCCCTGGAGTGAAAAGAAGAGCTTCATTCACACACAGGTAAAAATATAATTAGACCTGTGGTTGTAGCTCAGCTGGTATACAAAGCTCTGTATTCAAAGCCCAACACATAAAAAAAAAAAAAAAAAAAAAAAAAAATTATGTAATTTTAAACATGTGCTTAAACAATGATACTCAGAAGATTTGTTAATTATATGAAAGTCCTTCACTCAAATGGTTTTATTTGGCACCAAGCCAGCAGCTACAGTAACTACAGTTTCAACTCAACCCCACAATGTTTCCCTAACGCAAAACACACATTAGGTCATTTTCTAGTTCAAATCATTCAACAAATGGTAGCAAGAGAGAACCACCAGAAATGTACCCTGATTTCCATGACAAATATGGTAATGTTTTACTAGTTGGTGGAGCCACATTCTGTATTGCTGCATGAACCTATACAGCAATACAAATTGGAATAGAATGGAACCATTCCCCTGTTGGCAGAATCACCACCAAGGAATGGAGAGATCAGTAATCATGCCAGCTGACATCATACAGCTAAATTATTTCTAAATGAAATCATGATTGATGCCAAGTAAAAGCACTGTGTATCCATTAAAATATGGCCAACGAAGAAATAAAGCACAACTGAAACCTTCAAAAAAATGGTTTTATTTTTCTTCATTTCTCTAAAATGTAGCATATGTTCAATCATAACAAACCAAAAATACTCATGACTCAAAGCTTCAAGGATGCTTACTTTTTACCCCCCAAAAGTACCAATATAATAAACCTTAAGAAAGTACCATTTAGTGGCTTAAAACTTCAGCAACCGCCCTCAAAAGCTGGTTAAAAAAGAAATGACTTTCAGTTCTCTAACCATGAAACAGTTATATGTCGTAATTTTTTAGAACAGAAGTATTAAAAACCTAGTTCTCATGAGCTCTTTCAAAACAAGTTATTAAAATGTGTACACCAGCTGACATGGTGGTACACACCTATAATCTCGGCACACTTAAGCAGGAGGACTGCTGTGTGTTCAAGGCCAGTCTGGGCTACATGAGTTTAAGGGTAACCTGAACTACCTAGTAAGACTCTATCTCATAAATAAAGAAATAAAATAAAATAAGTATTCTCCCAGAAAAGTTAACTAAATAAGTGAACAGAAAACGTGAGCTGCACCAGGAAAGATGCGAGGCATCCACTATAGGACGTCATGGGAGTAGCCAAGTGATGACAGGGCCCAGGCACCAAGGGGGACCCATCAGACAGGAGCACACATGAAGGCTTGTCCCACCAGGTTCCTGCCACGATTGTGTCACTTACCAACCTGAGCACATGCTGCTCAAGTGAGCCTATGCCCATCTCACCCACAATAGGATTGTCTGGATTATGTAGCGGTGATGCTTCCACCCTCCCACTCACCACCACCACCCATTCCCTACCGCCCTTAATACTCCTCAAACTCTGAGGTGGACTACAGTAAGCTCAGAAAAAAAAAAAAAAAACACAAAGCAGGGGCTGGGGGGATGGCTCAGTAGAATAAGCGCTTGCCTGGTAAGCGCAAGGACCTAAATTCAATCCCCGGTTGCGAAAAAAAAAACAAAAACGCACACACAGAGCAGCCTGTGCCCTGACATCATGCCTGCCCAATGTGCAGCAACAGCTCTGATCCCCCTTCCAGGGTCTGTGAGGGGAGCTCTGTGCACCCAGGACTCACAGTGACTGCCCCAGAGGACTGCCATAAATTCCCCAATGGCGCTGGTGGCAGGCAGATAAACCCACACAATCCATTTAGCTACTGTGCTCCTGGAGCCTTCATCTAAACGCACACTTTCTATACAGTTCTTACAACAGTGAGGTGTATGCTTGCTGTTTGGTCTTTCAAAACTTGAATGCTAACTGTTAAAGGGTACAGTGCTAAACAAAAACCAGTATAGAAAAATAAGGGAAGGGCCGGCCAGATAGCTCAGTGGACTAAAGCGCCTGCTTAGTCAGAGCATAGCAGCCCAGGGCCCGCTGAGACAGCAACTGAAACTGGGTGTGATATTGCACCTGTAATCCCAGCACTTGCGAAGCTGAAAACAGGAGCATCACTAAGAGTCCGATCTATGTAATGAGACCCTGTGGACCCTGTACTAAATACATTTAAAGAAAAAGAAAAGAAAAACAACGGAATGATTAGTATATAATTTAGGACATTAAATGTTACCTTGGGGGTAGGTGTTGAAACAAGGGCAGGACACAAAAGGTGGTTTTAAAGGTATTTATTCTAGGGGCCAGGGAGATGGCTCAGTGGAATAAGTACATCCCTGGCAAGCACAAGGGCCTGAGTTCAATCCCCAGTTCCACCAAAAATAAAATAATAATAATAAAGGTACTTATTCTACTCCTTCATCTGGATACTAAGGACAAAAGTGTTCACTTTACTGCTGAAACTCTCTCGTATAGTTATGGTTTGGCTGGTGTGTAAGGCAGGACTGCTACAGAGCAGCATGGGGGTCACTGCACCAGATTATCTCCTAAGGGGGCTTATCTTGCCCACTGGCTCACTGAGCATATTCCTATGGAGATCCACCAACACAGAAGCGGCAACTCCTTCAAAGCCACACTGCTCTATTTTTCTTTTCAAAACAATGTTTCTCAAACTTTAACCAAGGGATCTTGTTAAAATGAAGATTCTGATTTTAGAAAGTCAAGTAAAACGTAGATCTGTCACATTCCTCACAGCTGTCAGGTGACACACCACACTATATTCTCAAGAATTTATATTTAGATCTTCTGTTTGTCTCTCTTCCTTAATAAGAATACAGGCTTCAAGAGGACAGGATTTTTTTTTTTTTGTATTTAGTACAGGGTCTACAGGATCTCACTACACAGATCAGACTCATAGTGATCCTCCTGTTTTCAGCCTCCCAAGCACTGGGATTACAGGTGCACGCCACCATGCCCAGTCTCAATCACCATCTCAGTGTGCCCAAGGGGCAGGGGCAGGGCTAGCACAGCATGGCAGAAATCAAACCAGTCCCTGCATCTGCCTAAGCAGGCACTTTCATCCACTGAGCTATCTGGCTGGCCCAAGATGACTGAATCTTTGACTTCTTTGCTTATTGCCATATCTAAGTCTCTTTCCTGAATAAAAATCAAGTTTTTGTTTCGCTTTGCTTTGGGTGGTTCTGAGGACTGTACCCAGGGCCTCACACATGCTAGGCAAGGACTCTTCCACTATACTATACTTCATTCTTTTTTTTTCAAGTCAGAATCCCACTAGGTTACCCAGGCCTTGAGCTTCTAATCATCTTGCCTTAGCCTCCCAAGTAACTGGAATAACAGGTATATGCCAACACACCTGGCAAGAATGGAGTATTTAGAATACCTAAAATATATCTGTCTGATTTCAAAATATTAAATACTTTGTCATTTAAAATAAATCAATAAAATTACTGTGAATTTAGAAAGCTATTTGAAGAAATGCTTAAAAATTTTAAGTACCAGTCTGTTCAAAAGAGGCTTTTAAGTTCTTGTGAAAAGTTTCTCAGATAATACTCATGTTTAAGGTTGTCATTCTTCAATGCTTTTTTTTTTTTGGCGGTACTGGGGATTAAACTCAGGACCCTGCACTTGCCAGGAAAGCGCTTATTCTACTGAGCTATCTCCCCAGCCCCTTCAATGCTTTTAAGAGCATGAACAATGGAACCAATGGTGATAATACCCTAAACCTCTACATGAAGTACTATTCACTTCCGGCCACCCTGCATGCAGTGCAGCACAGAACACACTCAATACTACCTGCTGACTGACTGAATCCATGAAGGAATAACCAGCCAAAGGAACACGAGATTAAAAATAAATTCAAGCAACAACTCACTGACCCCACTCTAGAAAACATGCCACATAAACTTCCTTCAGAGTAACTGCTAGGACGAAGTCCAGCACCCTCTACCAGCCTGGCTCACTGGGAAGCAGCTGCCAGCGGGCACACAGCTCTGGGACAGAGCACTCACCTAGCATGGCAAGGCTCAGTTTGGTCTCCAGTCAAACTTAAATAAATAAATAAAGCAAGCAGTCTATTGCCCCTGTGAAACAAGTCTCTGGGTGAACAAGACATACAACCAGTCAACTAAATTCTTTTCATGAACACAGTGCTAAGCATGTGCTCTACCACTGAGCTACCCTCTCAAATGAAATGTTAGCAGCACAGAAACCAGGAGCAAAAAAACATTACTTAGGGAGGCCTGAGTGAAGTGAGGTATTCAGGAAATCATTTTGAGTAACAAGTATCAATGGTTATAAAATGAACAATCTGTTTTCTTCCAAAAACAAAAAATAAGGAGGGGGAATAAGATTTAAAACTCATGGAGCTGGTGAGATAGCTCAACAGACTAAGTGCCTACTTAGGCAAACTCTGGGACTGGGATTTGATTCCCAGCACCATGTGCCATGCCAGCCCTGCCCCCGGGGCATGCTGAGCCAGCCACCAAGTCCGGGCATGGTGGTACATCGCTGTAATCACAGTGCTGGGGAGGCTGCAAAACAGGAGGATTACTATGGAGTCCGAACTGTGCAGTGAGACCCTGTTCCAGATACATTAAAAAAATAAAATAAAAAAGATTTAAAACTCGTTAGTGGCATAGGAAAAAGGAGCCAAGAGACCCATGCATAGCACTACTCCAGATGACCGATACATGCAAAGCTCAGGTGCACAGGGAGACTGAGGAAGGCGCAGTACCTTTCCCCGGCGCCCGCTTCCTCCATCCTGGTCTTCCCACTGCCAGTCCACTCCTCGTACCACTCTGGCACCTGCGAAGATTCCTCTGGCTGTAATCTTCTTAGATTTCCTACGAGACTCCAACAGAACCCTAAAAATATTTTCAAGTTTATATAAGTATGGGTAATATTTATATGTAAAAGCACTTATACATATAAAATGTGCTATGCTGCTTAAGAGAAAAATAATGCAATATTATCCATTTTCTTGAGTCTCAAAAAAATAATATGCCCAGGATCACCTAAGTTAAAAAGTCATAGGATCAAAATATGAACCCACTCTAACCACTTTGGGATACCACTACAGTCTTCACTACTTAGAGGTGGCAAACTCAAATCCCACTGCTGCTACCACATGAGTAAAAGAAACAAGGACCTAGGAAAGACAGACCCACAGCCACAGGCGGCAGACAGCACAGGGCCTGAGACAAGACATGAGCAGCAGGGCTCCAGACAACTCCAGTGCACACACCATCAAAGTGGCGCAGGCAGGCCCTGCTTCAGTCAGCTGCAAAAGGAGTAATGTGAGGTCTGGCACTGAGTTTTCTTGGGTACATGTGTTCTAAGAATCCACACAGGGTGAACAAGAATTAAGACATTCAGAGTACTATGTATGCCAGTAAAATACTACACTGCCTCCGAAGTACTACATACTTACAAAAGATTATGGACCTCAACAAAGATGTAAATGCAGCTATCTAGCCCAGCTTGCTTTCCAAGGCTATTTCTTACTCCTCTGTATCCTTACTCTTGTATTCAGTCAACTTTGTTTTTTGTTTTCTTTTCTCTAAATTTATCCTGTTTTTGTATTGATTCTTGTAATGTTTTTACTATTTTGTAGCTTTTATAACCAAAAGACAATAAAGAAATAACTTGTTTAAAATTACTCAGGACTGTGAAGATAGCTCAGCAGTCTAAGTATCTGCCTGGCAAGCACAAGGATCCAAGTTCAACCCCCATTACTACATGCCATGCCATGGTGGCACACAGCTGTAATCCCAGTGCTGGGGAGGCTGAGACAGGAGGATCACTACAAGTCTGAACTGTGTAGCAAGACCCTGTATCAAATACATATATAAAAAGCTTTAAGATTACTCAGTTAATAAATGACAAGGCACTGTAAATCAAAAATCTATTCCTACTCCTAGTTGGCTAACTGGCTATATTCTTACTCGTATACATTATTCCTCACTACATGTTATAGCTTACGTCTACAAGGCCCCGCAAGCCTCATGTAGACCAGAGGGGCTGATTTATGGTTTATGATGCTGGATAAAGTATATAAAGCTGGAATTAAAAGTGTGATTACTAAATAACACCACTGACTGGTTTGGCATAGTTCTAGATGTAGATAACTGGGAAGTCCAGCCTGCAGATTAGTAGTACCACCCAAAGAGTGGGTAATCTGGAAGAGATAAAGGGAAAGGCAGGCTGTTACGGCTGTCTTCCGCCTGCTATGAACAGTTCCTCCTCTGTACTGCCCCTGTGCCACACGCCACCCTGCCTCGGAGCCAGCCAACTATGAACTGAAACCTCTACAAACTGTGAGACATAATAAACCTTTCTTCCTTTAACTTTGAGTGATACCACACAAGAAGATTTAATCATCCAAAACTTCAGACCTGTGAACAATAAACACGCCTCTCATTGCTTCTCAGACACATAACACGTATCCCTACTATAGTCCAAAACAGCACATGATAATCAGCTGACCCATAATTCTCTTCCAAGTGTAAGCTCAATAATACTGTCTTATTTATGTTCAAATCTCCACAAACATACTGGCTGTCATGTGGTCTTAACCAAGGGGACCTAATGTTCATCTGGTAGCAATTAACAGAATAGAAAACATAGCAAGAAAAAAATGATCAGGCCTTCTCAGGTTGCCCTCACATTTCCAACTGCTGAATGGTACCAAGTATCTATCTCTGCTACAGTAAGAACAGCCCTGTGATCTTGGCAGTCTGTTGTACAATTCCATTTTCACAAAACTCCACTAGTCCTTGCTATTTGCTACCTCTTCCTCCTAAACCAACTGTCAGAAGGCATTTCTAATTCTATTTGTAAGGCTAAGTAGTATAAAACTTGAGTTCAAACAGAGTCAGGACTGAAAAAAAAAATTGTTTCTCCTACCTCTCGCTTCCTGGTGTGGTGATTCTGTAAAAGCGATGCCTCAAGTGATGCTTATCTCCATGATAGCACACTGTGCACAGATCGTAATTTGTACACTCAGCACACTTCCACCGAATGCCAATGATAGGTTGTTGGCGGCAGGTATCACACATAGTCCCATCGTGTTTGATGCCTATTAAACAAAGACCCATACTTACATTACTTACAAATATTTACATAATCATTTCCTTTCCAGAGTACAGCTATGTGACATTTACCTTGTTTTCAGACATAAACTGAAACTTAGGTTCAACACTGATTAAAAAGAATCTTTTAACACCAATGTTTCAGATTAGAAAAACTCAGAAATCTTTTAAGGAATTTCAACCTACCTACTCTCCAAGATAATTTTATCCTGTTACCATGGAAACAAACTAACAATTAACTTAAGCATTTACTACAGAGTTTGAGTGTATTATAAACAATACACTTTAGAAAATGATTGGTAAGCACATTTCACCCATTTAAAGGAAAACAATCCTCTTATGTTGGGTTGCTTCCCTCCCTTAAGGAAAAAACAGCAAAAAATGATCTCCACTAAAACTATTCACATGGATGGAGAGAGACATTTAAACTACAAAAGATACCCCACAAAGTGATGAAAAAACCTTTATCTTAGGGCAACAGAATTGGGGTACTTCTCCTTTACTATCCTGTGATATTAAAACCACTTGTTCGATAGACTAAAACTGTAATTTTTTAAATAATATGTGGTTGTGTCTGTAAATACGATATCATGTCCGCATCCTGTACACAATTAACCACTAGGAAGAATGTATGCAATGTGTTAATTATTGAAACTGTCCTACCAATTTGATTTGAAACTGTCTTATTGCTGTTTCTCAATAAAACTATGAAAAAAATATTAAAAAGATGCCATTTAATTTTGTTCTTCCATTGCTAATATTTTTCTATATATAAGCTTTAATGATTTTTTTCTTTACAATTAGTTTTAGACAATTTCAGTTTTGTGCATCTTGGTATGATTTTATTCATATTTCTTGTGCAAGATATATTTTTCTTGAAAATTTGGTGCTATAATTTTAACTAAATTCAGAAATTTTAAATCTTTAAATATTAATTGCCTACCCCATTCTACTTTGAGAATTTTAATTATATGAATACAAATTTCTTGATTTTGGCAAGGGTAAACTATTATCTGAC